TTTTCCTCTTGAGGGCTCTGGACATCCTGTTGCAGAGGAGATGACGGTTGGTCGGAACTGTTCCTAGACTGAAGAGATAAGGATCTGCTAATAATTGATCTGCTGTGGAATGTTCTTTGTTTGGGAGGTATAAAAGGGTTCAGGGTGATGTCTTTCCTTAAGAAAAACGGGTTAGGAGTGTCATCTGAACATTTTTCTCCACTGCAGTGGTTTTCTTTCTTTTTTAATAAACCTCACTTCAAAATACACGCTCGCCTGTTGGTTGCAGTTTTAAGCAAGATTTTCCATAACAGGGATCACTTGGAAATTCTCATTTTCCATGAAAACACCCATGAAATTGTTGCGAATAGGGGAAATACAAAATGAACAGGACATTGCAGCAATTACAGCCATAGGAGACCATTCTGTCAGTCCTTCAAGGTAATCAGATGATATTACACCCCATGCTCCCTGAACAATTTCCCACAATGAGGGTGGCTTGATAAGTCACCATATGTTCAAGCTGCTCCCACAACAGCTCAACAGGGTTCAGATCCAGAAACTGTGCTGGACACTCCATTACAGCCAGAATACTTGGCTGACTTCTTATTCTTTAAATATTGCTGACACATTGTGACAGAAGGTGTTTTTGGAGTCATTTTCCTATTGTAGGATGAAATTGGCCCCAATCAAGTTCTCTCCACAGGGTATGGCACAGTGTTGCAAACTCTTGTTCCTTTCACTGTACAAATCTTCCGGAGCACCCCCAGCCATTACACAGCACTGTTCTTGCATTTTTTGCTTGTTCTGCATCTCACAAATATTCTTCTGTTTGAGCCGAAGGCCTCAAACTTAGACTCATCTGTCCACAACACCTTTTTTAAGTTATCCACTGTCCAATGTCTGTGCTCTTTTGCCTATCTCGGTTTATTTTCTTTTTTGTTGTTCAGTCTAAGATATGGCTTTTCATGGCATGAAGCCCAGCATCCTGAGGTCGCCTCTTCACTGGTGATTCTGACTCTGGTGTTTAATGGGTGCTATTTAGTGCAGCTGCAAGTTGACAACCTGTGAGGTGTCGTTGTCTTAAACTACACACTCAGATATGAATTGAATGTTATTTGAATTGTTTATGAAATGAATTGCATAAAAAAAATTTCATTTTTCAAAATTGTTAGTGGATTGTGAAGA